GCCTCGTAAGAATCAACGGCATAATTGCTGCAGGGCTACCATACTTTCCATATGGCAACTCCGTGACCTGTAGTCCGCAAGCGAACTATACCGACCGAGCGACCGCCGCTGTCGGCGAAGTTAATGCCAACTTCAGCGGATAGAGGGTGTCGCGTGGTCAACGCAAGGAAACCCCACGGCCGTCAATTTCTGTTTTCTAGACCGGACCTGCTCTTTACTTGAACTAGCTCCTCAAATATTCTCACCAGGCTGAGTGTACCCCGTTCCAGACCCACTACTTCTCAGAAAATCTGGCAGCGCTGGGAATCGAACCCGGACCTCTGGATCTGTAGCCAGGAAATCTGACCACTAGACATTCTGTTACGTTTAATCTTACGGGGGGGGGGGGGAAAGGACGGTCATCGCCTAAGGGTGACAGTTCTACCGCCATCTGTGAGCCAGTTGACTAGAGAAAATATGGGAGCCTCGACGTCTCACAACCCTATGGGCCTTCCCGGCCTATTACAGGGATAGCTTTACCTTATCTTCTCTTACGTCTGTATTTGTTTAAGTAGGTTCTAAAGGATTCTGACAGTGGTGTATAATACTCAGTGAATGAGCAAGCCTTTTTAAGGGACCCAACAGAATAGTTGTCTCCCCCCCCCCAATCACCTGATGGCGGAAACAGATCCAGTTTCCAAAAGGTTGTATTTTCTAGTTTTTAGAATACCAGACGATGGACAAAGTAATTCTGGGTATTTATTTAAGGTTTATGGAATGATGCTTTCAGTAGCTCAAATTATATCGTCGAATATAGGATGATTCGTGAATGATGGATTGGAGAGGACGTGGAAGGAGGCGGTCGTGACATAAATTGAAGTATTATTTTGGTATTTGCCTGGAGAGACTGAGGGAAAGTACAAAAGAAAACTCAGGACTGCGTACCACTACTTGAACCCGGTACCGCCCGCATACAAGTCCAGCCCACTCACGACGTTGGGTCACGTTTCATAATGTTGTATATGTTGCTTATGTTAGTTTCGATAACTTTGAGATTATTCACCCGAAAGCGCTTCGAAATTATGTGGCTGGTGTAGTCTTACATGTCCCTTGTTTGGATTCTGGTGGATGATTTTCCTGTCAGGGCTAAATAGGAAATCTGCGCCTGACAGTGTAGGCAATTGCGATTAACGTTTGAGAAAGGGAGCAGGCTGTTTGTAGGTCGAGCACTCGTGCTGCGAGAAGTTGCAGATGGCCATGTTTGGGAGCTTCAGGATATTGTAGTCTGATTGATAATGAATTCTTTAATAAGCACCTCCATATTATTCTCAATGATCTTAAATGCACCGAATGGCCGGAACCTTCGAAACAGGTTCCACCCCTAGTTACAGTTGCTGCACACACCTCCCCTATTGATTACCTCTTTACTTAATATTATGAAAAAATTAAATAGTTCCGTCCAGTGTGACTGGTTAAGATTTCTTTTCTTATTTCAATTATTCATGCCCTTACGTGTTTCCGTCTTCAGAGTGACACCTTTACATGAATACAGTTAGAAGCCACTATTACAGTACATGTTCTAAAAGTCAAGATACATATACATACATACATACATACAATATACATAATATATAATTGGGTGTAACATCTAAAGTCTTTACAACTACAGCGGCTGTTCCAATACATTAAAATATTTATAGTTAGTTTGATAAGATTCTACTTAATAATTTCGTAATATTATTAGTGAGACGGACCAGAATGAAACAAATCAAATTCTTTACTTAAAATCGAAATTCTATTAAATGTGCACGCTATCAACAATGGAAATTTGTTTTAGTAAAGACGAAGATTGTACAGAATTACTGGGTTTTTTTGGACTTTTTCCATCTTCCGGTATTCTAGAAAATAGAAAACACGACGTTTCGGAAACTGCGTCTGTTTCCGTCAACAGGTGAACCTCTACTCAGTCACTGGATTAGCTCTTTCTAAGGGCCCCAACTGAGTAGGTGTCTTCCCCCTTACCTGTTGAAGGAAAGAGACCCAGTTTCCGAAACGTCGTGTTTTCTAGAATACCGGACAATGAATAAAAGCCCAAAACCCCAGTAATTCTGTGTGTTATACACCATCGACAGAGCCCTTTAGAACCTACGAAGATTGCAGTGTCGAATGAAGCATAAGCATAAGCCCTCTGGCGGTCCTATCCGTAACTACTAACAACATTTATTTCTGCATGAGGACAAAATAATGCAGAAATTACAAGTTTGGTCGTTTATACTTGGAGAATATGGCGTTTCGGTCTGTAGGTGGGAGATGGACTTGAGCTTATGATCATTAACTCACTATTATTTTGGGTCACCAGTATCAGTGAACATAGTCCGCGCCATAGCTCAAGCGGTTAACCGCTGGCTTCCCACCGCGGCGGCCCAGGTTCGATCCCGGGGTCTGGTGAAGTGGGATTTGTGGTGGACAAATTGGCGCTAGGGCAGGTTCTCTCCGAGTACTTTGGTTTCCCCTGCCAATCTTCATTCCACCAAATTCTTCATCATCATAATCATCCGGGGCAGGCTACAATAGGCCAATCAGTGGCCGCCGTGCCGAGTGGACCCAGCTGGACTCCACCCCCCACTAAGCGAATCAGTGAACATAACGCTTTATAACATTTGAGGTTCTCGCAACGGTGGTTATGAACACTTCTGTCTTATAGGTCGCATAAAGTCGTGTGGTACGTTTAGATTCAGCCGGCGTTTCGGAGGAATAATCCGCCCCCATCTTCAGGGTCGAAGAAGAAGCCAATCACAAACCTAGCAAGAAGCAGGTAACGAGCAGAGCTACGGTCGAAAAGTAAGCCAAGCAAGAAACCATCATGAATCAGGTAGCAAGGATACTTCTTGTTCATGTTTGCTTCTTGCTTGACTTACTTTTCGATCTTGCAGATGGAGACGTGTTCCTCAGAAACATCAGCTGGCTTTAAACGGTCTAAGCGGCGTCACACCGCAAAAGATGGAACTCTTCAACATAACGCTTTGTTTTGAGAATATTTTTCAGCTAGGACTAATCAGTGTTCTCCCATCCTACTTAATCCACATGCAGATGTTTTTATTAATTCGCTTAATAGGGGGTGGAGTCCAACTAGGTCCACTCGGCACGGCGGCCACTGATTTTCCTATTGTAGCCTGCCCCGGGTGATTATGATGATGGAGAATTTGGTGGAATGAAGATTGGCAAGGGAAACCGAAGTACTCGGAGAAAACCTGCCTCAGCGCCACTTTGTCCACCACAAATCCCCTTTGACCTGACCCGGGATCGAACCCAGGCCGCCGCGGTGGGAAGCCAGCGACTAACCGCTTGAGCCATGGCGCGGCCACATGCAGATGTTAGTGCTTTGCGAACTAACTCCTTAAACTTCACAGGCACCATTGATGCTGTGCCCCCGCCGAATATTTACTGTTGTTCTACCTTGACGAATTGGGCCCTTTCGACTGCTCCCAGTGAGAATTAATTCTGAGACTGTGAATCTTACAGACAGTTGATAGGACTCCTTTGACAGGGGATCAGCCCGTCGCAAGGACGCTGCCTATACACAGAACAACACAAACAAAAAAACGCATACAGACATCCATGCCTTAAATGGGATTTGAACCTACGATCCCAGCGTTCGAGCGAGCGAAGACAGTTTATGCCTTAGACCGCGCTGCCACTGTTACCGGCAACATAAATTCTTTCCAGGACTTTTTGTATTTAACAGAGAACTTTTTCATGCATGTCCCGGATATAGCTCGGGGAAGCACAACTTTTTGTGCTGTTACTAATATATACGTCTGACCGTGATGTTGGAATAGATTTGGAAATAATATATATTACGTAATGTTCCACTTCATTAAAGCCAGTTGTTCTCTTGCGGTATTAGAGAACACAGACTTGTGGAACCCTGTTGCTATAAAGAATGTAGATCCGCATCTTGAGCCGAAGATTGTGAAAGAGGCATATTTCAAAGCGTACCTTCTCGCCTGCCTTTACGTATGTTACTCCTGCGAGTTCGCTTCCACACACTTCATTTCTCCAACGTGTAGAAGTAACCAAACCGTCGTTAGGAACACTTTGGTGTGTTTCCTCTTCGAGACCTAATATTCATATAATTTCATTTTATTTTCTTTTGACACAATTTCTTTATTTTACAAGGAATTTAGCCGTATTATATCCGTCGTGCTGTCCCCCATAAATATTTAAAGATTAATTAATTTACGAAAGTTGGTATGAGCATCAGTCCACCGAAGGCTATACCATGCCTTACGCCTTAAGTTGCTCTGAAGTTAAACTGAACGCTATACACTTCGTGGGTATGGTAAATTGCGTAATTTCAGGGCTTTCACCCGCTGTTATAAAACATATTTTTATAAAGAGAAAAGTAGGAAGACCCGAAGAATGATGGAGGAACCGAACTTAAACCTAGACGCAGAACAGTCAGACTCAGCTAATCCGTGATAGAATCGATGATAATGATGATGATTATGAAGACTACGACATATTTACTTGAAACAGGTTTTATCATTTTTTTAAACATCCAGTTTCTCATTTGACTCTTCTCTGTCCTTAATGTGAGTTGCTTCATCAAAAAATAGAATTTCCAAAATCAATGAGAAAGAAAAATTAAGTCCCCTGTTAAAGACTAAGTGTGTGATAATGTGCTGCCTGGTCGTGGCTATTGCATATAACAAGGGGCCGTGATATATGAGTGTGGACAAGTCATGAAATTGTGATTAGCAATACCCCCCCCCCCCCNAAAACTTGCTCCATCACCACTTCGCCCACTTCCGCGCTGTGAAGCCAGCATCTAACTATGTGAATCATGGATGATCTTTCTATCTTCTGTACTTCACTTTACAAACTTAAAATCCGTGTGGTACCTTTCATCTTTTAAAGACGCTAAAATGTGGTGGGGAGAAACATTGCTTGATTCTTGGACAGAACATATAGATTTATACGTGTGGGATTTACTAAGGTGAAATATTTTTGTTTTGCAGATATCAGTCAGGAGATGGCCATCAACTCTTACGACATTGTAAGCACTCTTCAGGCACTGGGCATGATGAAGTATTGGAAGGGGAAGCACATCATACTGAAGAAACAGGTAAGAGCTAGCTCCACGCAGTGTGACGTCATAATCAAGTGACACAGGTCCCCAACCTTTTTCAGTCGCGACGCATGTAGCCGGAATAACCGATTTCCTCGACACGTGGATGCAAATTTGGCCTACACAAGGAGAACAGGGAGTACTGCTTCCCTGCTTCGTGTGCGCTTCGTGCTTCTTCCACCGAGTCGTTTTTTTTTCTTCGTATATTTCTCTATTTGTTATTCTTTGTTTGTCATGTGTCCTTCATTTATTTATTCTGACTTCCTCCCTGCATCTACCAGGTTGATGTAGCGGTAACGCTCTGGGCTTGTATTCAGGAAGCGCTCCGTTCGAATGTGGGCCGATATACCGCTTATCCTGAGGTTTGTTCTGGTTTTCCTCAGTCCCTTCTGGCAAATGCCGGGATAGAACCTCGATTAAGCCATGGCCGTTTCTTTCCGAATCCCTTCCAGTTCATTATTCACCAGTCATTCTGCCGTTCGACGCTGTGTGGGCTGAGCTACTGACAGCTTCGTTAAATAAACCACGAAACAATTGTCTGTATGCCTTTCTTCGTTTTTTTTTCATGTTCTCATTTCTTTCTATCTTGCATTCTTTGTCTATTTACTCTTTCGGTTTTTTTTTTCGATTTTCTGCTGTTTCAGCGATACATGTATTCTGAATGGCTGCTGTATGTGTAGTGAAGTATTCCACATTTGTTTTCGCAATCGGAGGGCGCCTACAGCAACGGGGGGCGCAGAATCGCTAAGAGCGCAGGTGTAAACTCTTGGGTACATTCTAAAGGATTTTGACGATGGTGTATAATACTCAGAATTACTGGGTTTTTTTAGTTTGTTCATCGTCCGGTATTATGAAAACGTTTCGGAAAGTGGATCTGTTTCCGTCCTCAGGTAGGAAATACAAGGAATCGGCCCATATGGCATGCTAAACCCACTTCGGACATCTCTCCCGTCTGGAGTCCCCTTACCAGCAAATGAGGTCACCAACTCGCAGAGATCTGTATGACGTGACAGAATCTTCATGGGTTTCTATCAGGTTTTAGTCTCGAGTGTTTAGGTTTTACCCCTAATTCTTAAATACAAGATCTGTTACGTAAACTTATCTTGAAGTTACTCCACAATGCTCTAAGATATACTAAATTCAAGACGCCAAGCGAGGCTGATCTGTTTTCACGCTTTTCATTGTATATTTTCTTACAGCTATATCAAATATATGCAAAAACTTATTAGAAAATTATTTTTAAAAGCCATCGTACCGGCGTGAATTCAAATGCGTTTCAACACATTCAACACCATGAAGAATACTGTTTCCTGTAACGTGGCGCGATGCTATTTGCTAAGAGAGGTTGCCGTCCCCAGACCACGCGGCTTTGCATCCTTAGTCACCGCCTTCAGAGCTTCAAATTTGACATATTCAGATTGTTTTAATATGAGATGCTTGCACCGTTACTCTTATATTCATCTTGGAATCACAAACCAGCCAATGTAAATAAGTTTATTGTAAATAACCTAATTATTTATAAGTTCGGCACACACACTGACACTGCACGGAGTCAGCAGGACAGCAAAACATTTAGAAAGCAGCAACAAAAAGTACCACTCAGAAGATACAACAACAACGACGTCAACAAAAACCCAATACTATTTAAACATCAACAGTTTTAACTGGGGAACGGGGTAGCGTAGTTGGTTGAGGTACCATGCTACAAGCCGGAAGATCGCAAGTTCGATTCCCGATGTGATCACTTAAGTTTTCAGTTGATGTAATTCTTCCAGCCGCACTATGGCCCTCGGGTCGACTCAGCCTCTAATAGAAATGATCAGCGGGAATCATTTTGGTGGTAAAGAGCGGCCGGCGCATAAGGCTGACAACCGTACCACCATCTGTGGGCCGATTGTCTTGAAAATGTGGGAGCCCCGACGCCTCACAACTCTATGGGCCTCTCCGGCCTGTTACAGGAATAACTGTATTTATTTATTTATTTATTTGCATTTTTAGCTTACGTTATGGCAATGTGACTTACTCGTGTTATTCTACGATTGTTAGCAACTTGTTACTATGGGCCTTGGCAACTGTAAAGCAAGTTCCTGTAGCTGTTGAGCCCTTGAAGATGACCCCGAAGGGCCGAAACAAGTAAGGTCATATAAATAATTGTATTATTTGCACCGGATGGCTTGTCATTCCAATATATTGAAAGTACTTCAAAACATTTGGCAACAGGATTGAGTTTTGATCAGGGTTATCATCTGATCGCTTGTGCTTTTGTTTCGTTGTCGGTTTGCTGGCACGCTTCTGTGTACTGTACTTTCTTTGGTACACTGTCATTTCTTTAGGGAAAAGTAGGCTTTTGAGATCACTAAGCTCTGTGTGTGTGTGTGTGTGTGTGTGTGTGTGTCCCAGTTCAGTTGTGAAACAATAGGCCGTTTTCACGAAACTTGGTATAAACTCTGTGCCGTTAGAGGTCACACAAACGTCATACTTTTTATTTCCCTATTGCCGGTAATTACAACATGGCGGACGCACGAACTTCAAGATGGAAACGACCCTAGTGTCATGTAGTCCCGGGTCTTGAAATTATGTACAGTAATAAATTGTCGAAAAATATGAAATGTGTATTTACTCTCAGTTTGATGTTGGTCACTAATGAACTATTAGAGCTAGGCATGTGAAATTTGGTATGGCGTTACCCGTATATCGTAATCATACCTACACGTTGCGCGTGAAAATACTGTTTATATACCGACAGCTACAAACATGGAGACGATACGAAACTTTGAAATTATGTTCCATAAATTTAACGCACACAAAATCTGCGCTTAAATAATTTCTTCCAAAGAAATATAATAATTCAATTCAATTCAATTCAATTCAATTCTTTATTATTAATGTGCCGAGTCAACAGCCGCAAGGCCAATTACAGACTCAGCACAGTGTAGATGACTGAATTACATTACATACAAACTTATTAGAAGTCAAATACAAAATACAGTTAAGTAATTGGAAGAAATAATAACGAATAAATGTAAAAGTAAACAAACAAATAAGCGATAATTATAACAGTAATAATAATTCCATTATCATTAAACTAAGTGCTATTACGAATAGAGGAATGAAACATTAATATTTAATTAAGAATTAAATAGTATAGATTTTCTGAG